AAACCCTAAACCTTAACCTAAACTCATGACTCCTAACTTCGTAAACCGTGCCGCTATATGGGCGGTTCGTGGGTACTCTAAATATTGGGGGGGGCATATTAAAAGGGGGACTCGAGGAGCGACCATGATTTTGACAACCTACCACCTGAGGACAAGCGAGCACGTAGTGAGAGCTTGCTTGGCCTGGGTCTACTTTGGCGTGATAAGCTTTGGGTTTGAAGTTAGGGTTCAGGTTTAATGGCAAAGACAAGCTCCAGGAATCTTGAGGGCGTATGCGCGGGCACTGTCGGTGTGAAGGATGACATGCCGATCGCGAAGTAAGGGAGTGCCGATGGGTGTTCCACTCTGATTTTCTGATGGGTCCTGGGCCAGGTGCCCTTGGCTTTGTGCGAGGTAGCATATTGTAAAGCCAGAAAGTCCAAGAGGTTTGGGCTTGCCCCTCTGCACCAACCCACCACTGCTCCCATTGCACTGAGTCCCTGGTCGTCTTCCATGCCTAGGGAAAGCTTTCGGTACATCTACCTCGTCAGCCTCAACATCCTTCCTTACCTTGCTGCAAGTTTCACCGTGACAGGTTAGGCTTGAAGAATGTCAGGCACAGTGGCAGAGCATGTGCAGTCTACGGGTTTAAGGGGTATGGGGTTTAGGGCTCGGGGTCAGGAGGGTTTAGGGTTTGCGGGTAAGGGCTTTGGCTCTAAGAGTTAAGGCCAGGCCCCTCAAAGCTAGACTGTACTTGAGGGCCCAAGTGTCATGAGTTTACCTTTCCCCAGAGAAACTGCCTTGCATACCAATACCCAAGAAAGCCACATACACTTTCTTTAAAACTAGGCGATGTAGGAGCCTTCTCACTTTCAACTGACCCCAAAGCTAGGTAGAATAGCAGCATCTTGGGGATCCTTTTCCCTGAGCCATAAACCCAAAAACCTAAACCTTCAACCCTGAATCCTAAACCCTACACCTTCGCCATGTGAGGGGCATCCTAAACCCTAAACCGTAAAACCCTAAACCCTAAACCCTAAAACCTTTTATCTACCTGAGGCCCCAGGTGACCTGCCTACCCGTCATCAGACCGAAGGCAGGCTCAAAGCTTGTGTTCGATGACAAAACAGCTCATCTGAGTAATTAGGGTTTAGGGTTTAGGGTTTAGGGTAAAGTTTTTTTTGGAGGTTGAACCTAGTAAGATGTGATCCTGGTAAAAAAAACCTATACACCAAAAGGAGGATATAATCTTACTCTTTATTGGGTACCATAGTATCCCCAAATAAAATACTACTCATCTGTTCCTGGTTATTTTAGAAGGGATTATATAGGGTTTGTGGTTTAGGGTCTAAGGTCTAAACTCCCTAAAAATGGGCTTCTATGGGGGATCTATAGATTGAGGGGGATACTGGGAGTTCAGACTATATGTAGCTCAGATGTCCTCCTACTCGGGCACCTTAGATTAAGAGTTTAGGATTAGAGGTTAAGGGTCTAGAGGTTAGGGTTTCAGGTTTAGGGCTTAGGGAACGTGGACATTCAGCTGGAAACTCCCTCAATTAAATAATCTCTCCAGGGCCTGCTAAGCGCTCAACCCTAACAGTTTAGGGTTTAGGGTTTTAGCGGTGAACAATTTTAGTGGTTAGGATTTAGGGCTTTAACTCTAACCCCAAACTCCAGATCCCAACCCTTAAACTCCAATGTCCCAAGCCCGCAAACTCCCCTTGCCCTCATAACAAAGCTGCCCATTCCCCAAGACTAGATATTTCCTCCATAACACAATGTACCATATTGTTGGTATTTCTTATTGCCTGGGGAGGAAGTAGAAAGTGGAACAACGAGTTCAGTACCCTTTTCCACGCTTGGGTGATTTCTCTCCTTGCTCAAGGGGATCTCTAGTTTCTAGATCCTCCCAGGGGTGCGGGTAGCAGGGGGGTGGTTGTGCCAACAATCCCAACAAAACTTACGGGAAACAGTGTTTTCCATTTGCTCTTCCATTCCCATATATATATATATACCCGCAAACCCGAAACGTAAACACTAAATTGTGGTTTCATGTTTGTTTTCCATTCCAAGATGCCCTGATCACCCGAAGTACGAAAGAACGCTGGACCCCAAACCCTCAAAACTGAACCCCAAAATCCTAAACTAAGACCTCATTAGCGCGGTGCCTGTGGTAGCGGCTGAGGCGGCAAAAAAGCAGGCCTGCCGTCAAAAGCTTTAGGAGTTTGGGGCATTTAGGATTCAGTGTTGTGGGTTCAGGCCTTATAGGGAAATTTAGGGGGCCCTCCTTGTACCTGGAGTCTCTCTTGGCTTAGTAAGTCTACTTAATCATAGTGGGTATAGGTATAGGCCTTATAGCTTGGGCCCGTGGGGGTAGAAAGTGGAAGTACTAAGTCAAAACAAGCTCCAAGTAGAGTTACATGGGTCGGAGCTTTGGGAGTGTAGGGCATTTGGTTTCCCTATCAATCAACCAAAAAATCTTCTCCCGAGAGTCACAGAGCCTGGGTCTAGAGGTTTAAGGTTTATGGGGTATTGGGTTGTAGAGTTCCAGCGCTTTTGGCGTTATATGGTCAGCATGGACAACCTTTGTGGTGGTTAAGGGTTTTCAATCATTGTCAGGTTAGCTTCGGTTCAATCTTTCGGGGGCTGCTTGAAGGGCCTTAAGGTTGTACTGCCTCGAAATCTCATGAATCAAGTGCTGAAGAAGCCTGCTACACCCTGAAGCTCAGGGGCATACATTTCTTCCCATCGCAGGACCCTTAACCCTACACCCTAAGCCCTGGTATTGCTTCCACTGGACTCTCTGCTCCCAAGCCCCAAGGCCCAAGCTGCGAAACCCCAGCTCCGACTGCTTACATTGTGGCTTACATGCCTTCTGTCTGTGGTTGTGTGGTTGTGTGGATGTGTGTGTGTGTGTGTATGTATGTATGAATGCATGTAAGTACGTACGTATGCACGTATGTACGTATGTACCTATGTAATGCAATACAGTGCAGTGTAGTGTCATGTAATGTATGCCTGCATGTATGCTTAGGATTTAGCCTGCACACACACAGCACTTTGTTCTGCAGGGCTGCTCATACCATCCACCCCCCCCCGCCCCCCATCCCCCTACCCTGGCATTCAAACCCTCACACAGCGGGTTAGGGTTGAGGGCTTGGGTAGAACCATTAGAGGGATGAGGCCGGGGGGGGGAGGAGGGGGGGGGGACGGGAGGGAGATGTCAAGAAAAGCGCGTTAAACAAAACAAAACTGCAAAGAGAGCCCCCCTAGCTTGCATAACTATACTCATACGTCCCATAACTACAATGTATGGAACATATAACTATATCTAGCCCCGCTTATAATCCGACTTATAACCAGGGGGCTCCCGTTCCACAACTACAACTTGTAGAACTTATAACCATATCTATCCCAACTGACAATCCGACTTATGACTAGGGGGTGCCTCCCTGTATCAACTTGACCATACCAGAGCCTTTAACCTGTCCGCTCAACATCAATCCATGAAACCCCGATGATTAAATTCAGGGTTTAGGGTTCAGGAGGATTTAGGGTTTAGGGTGCCCAGCCCTATAATCCCAAATCAATAAACCCCAATTCCCCTATGAACCCTTACTACTCTAAGCCTAGACCTTAAAGACAAAATTGTCAGGGTTCAAAAGCAGACTGATCCTGCAAGCCCCAGCAAATTGTTCTCAACCCTACACCCCAAACCCCCAACCCTAAACCCTAAATTCTACACCCTAAACCCTAAACCCTGAACCCTAAACCCTCAACCCTAGACCCTAAACTCTGAACCCTGAACTCTAAACCTTTGCACCCCAAACCCTAAACCCATAAATCGTTGCAACCCCATCTCAAGAGGGATGGCCTTGGTGGTGGAGGCGCCGCCGTTACGGCGGGGCCCTTGGGCACCGAAGGCGCAGCCACCGCCTACGTCTGCTTTAGGTTTGGGATTTAGGGTTTCGGGGTTTAGTGTTTGGGTTTGGGATTTAGGGTTTAGGGCTTAGGTTTGGGATTTAGGGTTTAGGGTTTAGGTTTGGGAGTTGTTCTTCCATACGCCCTGGAAAGGGTTTAGGGTTTAGGTTTGGGATTCAGGGTTGGGAATGTAGGCATTAGGGCCTTTATAAAAGCCGGAAGTACGGAGAAGACGGTTTGGGGCGTAGGGCTTAGAGTACTTGCCTTAAAGCGTTTTAAACAGGGGGTTGAACGTCTATGTGGAGGCTTTCGAGTGCTGCTATATCGCAAATAGCTTTGGCCCAAAGAGTTTCCTACCATAATGTACTCATATATCAAGCACTCTAGCTCTCAGGCGGGTACCCTTAAACGATGCCTACATTGACCACACATAGCCAAATTACCCTCGTACAAGCCTTACGTGAGCCGTACATGGGGGTACCCACCTGGTAACTGCCCAAGCGGGCGTGTGCCCTAAACCCCAACCCTCAACCCTAAACCCCTCAACCCCTAAACCCTGAATCCCAAACCTAAACCCTAAACCTTAAATCCCAAACCTAAACCCCTAAACCCCTAAACCCTGAACCCTTAACCCTCAGTGGAGGGCATGCTTTGAGGGCTCGGGATGATTCTAGCTCAAGTGCAGTCGCTTCCACTAATGATGAACCTCTCAGGTTTACCCCAAGCATCCAAGGATTCATATTTGAAGGAATTTGGGCCCAAAGACCATACTATGTGAGGTTTTTAGGTGATTTCGATGCTCAGGTCTAAGGTTTTGTTCAACCCCATCGGTCTTTTACGTCTGCTGGGTTTAGGGCTTAGGGTAACCTCCCCATCCACCTAATAGATATCCCTAAACCCTAAACCCCTAAACCCTAAACCTTAGACCCTAAACCCTAAACCCTTTACACTACCTGCGCTTTGCCCTGCCTGTTTCCAGAGCCTCGGTGGAGGCGCAGGCTGATAGTCTTTGTCGTTCTCCCTTTTGATCTTCCTTGCAAGGTTTAGGGATTAAGGGTTTAGGGTTTAGGGTTTAGGATTCAAGGTTTAGGGTTTAGGATTTTGGGGTTAGACTTTAAGTGTGTACCGTTACTGTTCGTAGCCCTCGGATTTGGGTCCCAAATACTCATCTTAAGGGCCATCCTCCATGGTTCAGGTGCCCGTACCCCCAGGGTACAAACCCTAAGGCTACAATGGAAAACTCCCTGAGTTTTGGTTTAGGGAGTGTATAGGGGTGTGGGTGTAGGATCTTCCTGCAAGTTGGCTTAGGGCTTTGGGTCTGAGGTTGGGGATTCCTGAAACGGAGAATCTAATAGAAAAGAAAATGGCAAGGAACATACAAAAAATGGAAACCAGGATTATATTAAACCCTAAACCCGAAACCCTTGTTATATAGGGAGTTGTACTAGGAACTAAGAGATTCTGAAACCTGACCCCCCCCAAAAAAGAGGACCCCATTATATAGTACTATGGTACGGCTTGAGGTTACCAATATCCTCTTGTAGGGTTTAAGGCTTAGGATCCAGGGCTTAAAATTTGGAGTTATCCTCTGCCCCTGATCGTCAATGCATCCAGCCCCTGTCACCAACAGTCCCCCTTAAGTAGATGGAATATGGCTTTGGGTATATTATACTAAGATCCCCATGTACCCCATATTCTATCTACTTAGTGGGGACTATAGCATAAAACATTGGCACCGTAGAGGAGGAACTTCATATTTTGGGGGGCAGAGCCGTACTAAATCACAAGAGATAGGCGCTCATACTTAGTTTCGGGGGGTTGAGTTGGGTTTGCCAACATCCTCTTGTTGACTATGAATACAACAACTCCCATGTGAAACCCTTAACGTGACTCTCTTACTTAAGCCCTACAACCCTGAACTCATATTTGGGGGCACCAGGCTCCTCTCATTTCTGAAGACCCTGATTACAATCTCAAACACCTGTGAGGGAGCACGAGACTCTACACGTTGAAGCTTAATACAAATTACTTAAGTTTTTGGGTTTGGCAAGGGGGGGTCATGTCGCTTTCAAAAGATGTAACCCTAAACCCTAAACCCCTAAACCCCTAAACCCTAAACCCTAAACCCCTTAACCCCTAAACCCCTAAACCCTAATTTGGATTCAAGGCTGAGTTTTAGGTGATCATAAGCTCTGAGTCTCAAGACTCCCAACCCGAAATCATTAACCCTGCACGCCGTGCGTCTCGCCGCAAGGCGCTGAGCCCTGGAGCCCAGACGGTAAACTCACTGAAGAACCCTAGAATCCCTAAGGCTCCAAATAGCCCAATGTAGGTCATATTTATAGACTTTGGGGCCCAATGTAGGTATTACTTATAGACATGGAGCCCTAGGGAATGTCCTGAAGCCTGAAATACCTTAATGAGCATTGTTTTTTTCTTGTAAAATTTCTTCTTCTAACATGGAGAGCCTACGCGAACTACACGGAATGGCTGTTTATCCTTCGGAAGAGACTACGTGGGGATACTCTTGCTGACTCTTGCTATTCAGGTGACAACGTGGACTACGCAGCACACCTGGCCTACACAACTTTATACGCAATACGTCTTATGAAACATACAAACTACGCAGACTACAAGGACAAGATAACCTACACGTCACTACGCGAGACTACGCAAGACTACGCGCTGCAGGCCCAAGGCTACGCAAGCACTCTTGCAGTTTCACATGCAGAAAAAAACGCTGCTCTAATAGGGTTTACAGCGTTTAGGGTTCAGGGACCGACCTACTTCAGGGTGTAGCCAGGGGCGGGTAGGATAGGGACGGGGCAGTAGGGGAACCAATTGCTCTGATTTATGCCTTTGAAGGCTCATAAGCCATAAGCCGGATGCCAGACCCTAAACCGTAAACTCTAAGCCTTTAACCCTAAGCCCTAAACTGTAAACCTTCTAAACCCGAAACACCAAACCCCAAACCCTAACCCCAAACCTTAAACCCCAAACCCTAAACCCTAAACCCAACCCTAAACCTTTCAAAGTGCAGTGGCGGCCTGGGGAGGAAGTGGCCATCTTTTGCCTTCCGACGATTCTCGTACTTCCGCAGTTCCACGAGCGTCCTTCTTTTGGGGGGGTTAGGGTTTGAGGGTTTAGGGGTGGGGGTTTGGGGTTTAGAGCTTGGGGGCTTGGGGTTTAGGGTTAGGTTTTGTTTTGGGCGGTGCCTGGGGTTGTTTTCAGTTGTGAGTTTGAGGCTGTTTGGTGTTTCCAGATTTGATTTGTCAAAGGGATTTTAGGGTTTCACATTTAGGCTTCTTTGGGGTTGAAGGCTCTGGGCTTCTATCGCTGTGTGGGTTTGGGGCTGACGTTTCTTTGGCGCAAAAGGTTTGCAAGATTTAGGTACCCGGCGTGCTTGGAAACACCGAAAGTGGTGATAAGGATCTGCAGGGCTCTACTTCACAAGCAGTTCTTGGTGCCATGCCGGTGAAGGGTTTAGGGCCTAGGGTTCTCCTAGAATACTCTGGTGTAGATTCCTGGGAAACCTAAAGTAGGACAGACACCCGAGGAAGGATCCTTAGAGGGGAGATATTAGGCTTAAGGTTCAGGGTTTAGGATTTAGGGTTAAAGGCTTGGGATTTATAGGGTTTAGGGTTTGGGGTTTGGGAAGCCTAAGGGAATTCAGGGTCTCAAAGGATCTTCAGCATCAAGGATGCAAGAAAGGAAGCCCGACAGGACTTCCTTGTCTACGTGGCACTTAAGACCCCTACCAAACCCTAAGGGTCCATGTACTCAATAATTGGGTACTTGGGATTTTGGGTACTAGGAATAGTAGTACAGGTTTTGAGTAAGTATATGATTATTGGGGACTTGGACCCTTAGGGAAAGGTTAACCCTTAGGTACCCATAATAGGGGTATAAGGGAATCCAAAAGGGTTGAGGGTCTAAAGTCCAAGCTAAGTGCCAAGGAGTTGTGTGCAGGGTTTTTGGAAGCCAGTGACCTGAACCCCAACCCAGCACTTTTACTTGGGTTGTATTTGGGGTTCAGGGCTCCGGGTTTA